CAGGCAGGACCCAAAACTATGGCTCTTCACATCGAGGTCATCACTTTATGTTTTGCTTAGCTCTGCTGATGGCCGTGCAGCATAGGCAGGGTGTGTGGTGCTGTGCTCGCTGTGTGGTGCTGTGCTCAGGAGCCACGTTGTCCTGTGCCATCGCAGCACACGAGCGCTCTCCCCGAGTAGGTCAGAGCAGTCCTGCGCACAGCGCATGGCAGCGCTGCACAGAGTCTGCAAACAGTCCTGGGAGATCTGCATCGGAAAGGAAGGGATACAGCTCTTCATTGCAACAAGTAATAAACGGTTGGCTTTCACTATTTCTAATTTAACAGCTAAATGTCAGCTTAATTGTGATACATTGCACTCAGAAGTCTGGGACTGCCTGTTATCTCATTCAGCTGCCTCCGAGCTCTAAGTTTCAGGCATTATCTGGGTTGATTTCCAGCCAGCTTTCTCTGATCTGTCTTAACTAGTTGCGGGTGGAGACGCTGACCTTTCTCATCAGTTAGAGGAGAAATTATAATTGGATGTCTCTGGCAGGCTGAAAACTCCTTCTAATGACTCCACTGAATATGGGAGGTTGCAACATGACACATCGCTCCACCCTGTTGAATTCTTCTAGGGAAAACCAGAGCAGTAGCAGTGACTGTGACCGTGTCTGACCAGGCTGACATCACAGAAGCTGTAATCCTGTAATTAGCTCTGATACCCAATTTTTGAACTTCAGTGATTTTTGGCCTCTTTCTTATGTCTAAGCCAAATTGTCAAGGTTCAAGGACATCAAAGCTTCACCATAATTGTTTCACAAAAAGCAAAGATAAAATGTGCCTTAATCTCTTGTCAGCATGGACAATGATTTCTTGTATGTGAATTATATTAATATTTTCTGAAGTCACTCTTGATTTCTCTGAAAGGCACTGGGAGCCTTCCCAAGACAGGGTGCGTTCCCCCTGAAATTCACTGGAGGGAAGGGCAGCGAATGGTGTATGTTATCTCTACAGCGCAGCCGCTGCACTGCGGCACTCCTTACTCGTCAGGCAGATTACACCAGCAAAAACCTGTTGCCCTGCCATTCAGAAGAGAGCAGTCTGCCATACTGCTGCTGTGAGAGCATGTGTCAGTGTGGGGGCGGTGGCTTTGCTTTCCTGTTCCTACCGATCTTGTCCCAGGTCAGTCTTCCTGCAGCATCCGTTCTGCTGAGTTGGAGAATGCATACAGAGAGAAATAGGTGTAATTATACAGTAAGTCAGACCAAAGAACCTTTAGGTATAAAAATTTTTTTTTTTTTTTTTTAAATCTCTGTTCTGAACCATTTGTTGGCAAACACCACCTGTTTTGAGGGCCATCACTATTATGTAGAGCAGTTTGGTTTGGTCCTGTGGAGATCTCTGGTCCAGTCCAGGGCCCGTGTAGATCAGGTGGCTTGGGGCATTGGCAGGTCAAAGGTTAAGCCTTGGGGATCACAGAATCACAGAATAGTAGGGGTTGGAAGGGACCTCTGTGGGTCATCTAGTCCAACCTTCCTCATGTTCAGACGGAACTTCCTGTGCCTCAGTTTGTGCCCATTGCCCCTTGTCCTGTCGCTGGGTACCACTGAAAAGAGCTTGGCCCCATCCTCCTGACACCCACCCTGCAGATATTTGTAAGCATTTATAAGGTCCCCTCGCAGCCTTCTCTTCTTCAGGCTGAACAAGCCCAGCTCCCTCAGCCTCTCCTCGTAGGGGAGATGCTCCAGTCCCAAATCTCCTGGGACCTTGTTGGAGATGTTCCAGTCCTGGGATCTCCAGGTCTGGAATCCCACAGCTTCTCTGGGCCCCTTGTTCAACGTTTGATTCCCTTCATGGTGAAAAACTGCCCCCTAATATCTAATCGAAATTTCCCCTGTTCCATGTTGCGCACGTTCGCTCTGGCCTCAGCGTACCTCCAGGAAGCCTGGCTCTCTACTGTCTTGCTAATGGAGTCTGGGTGCGATCGTCTTTGTTGCCACAAGGGCACACTACTGTCTCATTTTGGTTTCTGTTGTCCTGTTGAGGACCCTCTGGAGAGCAGCCCTGCCCTCAGGCATGTCACCTGCTTCCCCTCATCTGGTATCACCTGCAAACTGGCTGAGGGTGTGCTCTGTACTGTAGTCAAGGTCAGTAATAAAAACGTTAACCACTAAAACCTCTGAGAAACCCTGCTAGCAGCTAGCCACTGGCTGGACTTCGTACCAGTCCTCAAAATGCTTTAACCGTGGTGGTCCAGCCAGTTTTCCACCCACCCTTACCGCCCACTTGTTCAAAGCAGATCACGAGTTTAGCTATGCGATTGTGTCAGAAGCCTTTCTAAAGTCAAGGTAAACAGCGTCCACTGCACTCCCCTTGCCCACAGAGCTGCTTACATCTTCATAAAGAGCAGTCTTGAATTTTTCACCTCTGTGCGTTTGCTATGCTTGTTGGGATGCTCACTTGAAAGCTTCAATGTCTTCTTACTAGTTTTGATATGAAGTTTGTACTTTAAACTTAAGATTGGAGTAAATGTAACATTCATGTAGCATTCTAGTTTCACACATTCAGATTTTTCCTTATGATACAGTATTCCCAACACTATTGCATATAAAACTGTTCACATCAGGATCTTTCAAAAATTAAGCAATTGTTGCCAAACCCTGGTGATGCCTCATTGCCCGTCGCCAGAACTGCGGGGAGGTGTGGGAGGTTTGCTTCGACAGTAACTCCTACACTGGTGGCATGCATAGTGTAGAGTGCTTGTGCTTAGAAGAAAATATTAATTAAAAAATGAAAAAGTAGAGCAAAATTAAAGAAACTTGGAGGTGTGTGGGTAATGTTTTGTATTTCTGCAGACCTGCTAAGGCATCTGTATATAGGTGGGCATATCTGGCTGTATTCCTGACTCTGAGGCCGCGCAGGTGTGAGCGGCTGTGCAGGCAAAATTCCACCAGCTGAAAGAACTGCCTGTGTCTGGAAGTGCAGGGCTGCACAACCCCCGCCCCGTGTGTTTTTCTGCCTCTGTATTTTCACGAGCACTTCAGTTCAGCATACGACTGGGAAAACCATGAGGTCTGAACTGATGCTTGGCTGCCAGGTTTGAATTTAACCCTGTTCAGCGTCCCGCTGCCTGAGACCCCACAGATGCACCGTGCTTGCTGAAGGCACAGGCAGTTCAGGGGCAGGACTGCTGCTGCCTCTCTCGTGTACTGACGTGTCCCCAGGCGCCTGGCGTGCCCTCCATGTCCAGCACAGGGGTTGCAACGGTCTTCATTCAAGCCTGGTGTTTCACAGACTGCTTTGACCTGGGCATTCTTGGTGAGGATTGTTTTCAGAGCAAGTTTAAACTTTCAGCAGCTTTGCTTTACCATAGTGTTTAGAAGTGGTTTGGAATTGTAGGAAGTGCTATT